GGCTTGATTTCACCTCCGGTCTCAGGGGGAGTGGGAGGTCTTAGGGTTATATAGTTCAGTCTCAGCAATACAGAGGGCTCAAAAAAACCAAAAAACGAAAAACCCAAGGCCGAAAGGATTGAGTTAAGGAGAAAAACATACTTGTAGGAGGGTGGGCCCCAACCTTTTTGGCACCAGGGACTAGTGCTTTTATGAGAATCTAATTCCTGATATCTGAGGTGGAGCTGAGGAATGATAATAGTGCTGGGGAGCGGCTGCAAAAACAGATGAAGCTTCCCTGGCTTTCTAGCTGCTCACCTCTTGCTGTGTGGCCTGGTGCCTAACAGGCCACAAACCCAGTACCGGCCTGGGGGTGGGGGTGAGGGGGTAGGTGGGTGGCGGGGAAGTGCGAAGTTGGGAATCCCTGTAATGTAAGGCACTAGCAATGTTGATTTCAGTGCTATTTGCATTTGGGAGTTCAGGCCATGGTTTCCTTGCTTCTGACCTTGGAGACCTTTCCTTTCAGGCAGTAGTGACCTCCTAGTTAAGAATTCTATTGAAAAGCTGGCATGGAGTCCTAAGCCTGAGGCATATTGGGGCAGGAGTGCATTAGGAATACCCTGGACTTTGTAGGGGAGTGGGCAGGGCTTTCAGGGAGTTGACATTTCCTTAGAGCTGGCAGGGAATTTCTGCCTGAGTGACCTGTTCCCCCAAAATGTTAACTTGCCTTTTATTGAAGACCTCCCTTTTACCTTACATTCCTTTGAAGAACTTCAGTAAAGTGCATTTAGTACATAAAAATTAATCTTTTATATGAAAATTATGTAAATTCTCTTTTCATAACAAATGGTCACAGGCAATGAAATTTTTAGTTTTAATGATGTGAAAGTCTATATTTTATGTGTCCTTTGAAGGACATTCAGATAGAACACTTTATATCAAGGTCTCAAGGCAGGAAAACACTTGACTGGATCTAAGAACCAACAGTCTGTTGGTCAGGGTCCAGTGGGCTCTGAAGGAGAGGAGATGGGACTGTATTCTAAATTCAGTGGAAGGCAATATAGAAGACTTTCAAGTAGGAGGAATGACAGGATCTGATTTCCTCTCTGCCCTGATTTCCTCAGGGCTCTAAGACTATATTTAACAACTAGGAGAATTTAAGACCATTTAAGAATATTGCAGAGGTCCAAGCAACAAAAAATGATGGATTGGACTCAAGTGCGGGGGTTGGGGGGGCGCAGCATTGAGTTGGGGGAATAGGGGGAGGGGTGATTTGACAAATTTGGAGATGGATTTGATAGAACTTGATGAAAGTAGCAGGTCAATGAGAAGGGAATGTCAAGAATGACTTTGGATTTCTAATTTGAAGAATTGTGTTCATGATGGTACTGGTTACAGGGGAAAATAGGAAAGAATAGATTTGGAAGAGAAGATTCAGGCACTCAAGTGCAGATGTCAGGTAGGCAGTTGGATGGCGGGGAGGGCGCATGTCTGGAGCTCCAAAGAGCCAAAATGGCATGTGAACAGTTCAAATGAAAAATAGGTATGCTGAGTCAAAATGTAGCGTGTTCAGTTTCTTGCAATTGGATTTAACTTGTCAGTATTGTTTCCAACTCCGAATTTACTTAATAAAACAGCACGTTAATTTTCTTAGACATGGTATTCAAAAAACCCAATTCATTTGAAAGCTGCAGTGTAATGAGCATCTTTTTTTAAAAGTAAGATTTTTATGATTTAGTATTTTTCAGTGTGGTTCTTACCATTTTTTTGTAATACAGAGCTGATGAAAACTGTGAGCCCAATAAAGGAAAAGAATGTATATCTATACCTGTATTAAGGAGTTATAAAGTTTATAAATCTGTGATACAGTTTACTATGGTGCTAGAGCTAACGATCATATTTTTAGCCATTTCCTTGTTTTACAGTTGAGAATACTGATGTCCAGAAAAGTAAAATAACCCAGGTAGTTCATGGCTGTGACAACAACCCAAGACTTGCGCTTCAAATAGCGATTATTACTGGCTAGTTAGCATACACTCTAGATAGTCACTTTTCTCAAGTAGCATACCAAGTGCTTGCAGGATTAGTGGATAAGAGAGAACGTGTGACTGATTATGGTAGGAAAAGGACACATTTGATGGGAGCATAATTGGCTTTGGTGAAGATCCTTACTTGTCAGATTGCCACCATCAAGAACCAATCCCCCAATCATGTACTAGTACCCATCCCAGCGTTTGGCAGGAGGGTTACCTCGACAAATAGTAGTTCTCTTACTACTCGTTCGCTTTTTGGGGAATGTTTGTGTATCCTTTCAAGGCAGTTGGGCTGGGCTGCCAAATTACTTTAATCCTGAAACTGAAATGGATGCAGTTTTGTCTTAGTTGCTGTCTGTAGTTGCTGTAATTAAATGAATCAAAATTTACCTAATGATGTGATAGAAAGGAAGGCAGAATTCCTGTTTCTGTTCTACTGTTGTTGTTGTTTTTTTTCTATAGTCACATCTGCCACTTTGCCAGGACCTTTCTTGGTATTTCTGACTATACTCTGGATTAATGTCTTTTCACTGTCTTTTCATTTTTGAAAATCTTTAACTTCTGAATTTTTAGAGCCTTTTAAAATAAGATTTTAGTTCAGGGTTAAAGATTAAATCGTAGACCTTTTAACAGCCAGCCACATTAAAAAAATGGCATCAGATCAAATAATTATTGACGTGGTATCCAGGTTATGAAATTACAGGAAAAAAAAAAAAACCTTTTAAATTATCTAGTCTTTATATCTACACAGCCCAGATTATTTTTAAAAATATATTTAATAACATTTTCTTATTCAAAATATTGCATTAGTTCAGTGTTAGCCTCACTCAAGATAACTTTTACAGTCTGGAAGCACAGTAAGCAAAAGTGATAGAAGGAGAAGTTCTTGCTTTTGTTTTTATCCGCCCCCCACCTCCGCACACACTTTTGTAGTTATCTCATATTGCACCATTAGTAATTTCCCACACAAAAATGATCTCTTAGATTATAGAGGGAGAAACTCACGAAAGGAAATTTATGGAGAAACATGAAATTAGCCTCCATCGTTTCTGATAAATCAATGGTCATAGAACCCCTCATCCTACCCCAGTATTATTAACATCTTGCATCAGTTTTAGAAAAATTTCCTGGGGCCAAGAGACCATGAAAAGAGGCTGACAACTCTAAAATTACATCAAGCGTTTAAGAGAACTTAGCAAGAGAAGCAGCATCTTAGCAGGAAGACAGGAAGACGGTAGATAGACACACGCGAAAAGGAACGGGACCTATTACAGATAGCCGAGTGGCATGTGTTTACACTGGTGGCTTGTAGCCATGGACTGACTAACAGGCAGCTTGTAGCCACGTGGCATGTGCTTATTAAGGGCAGTATAATCCAAAGCAGTAAAAAACTTAAGGGGTCCACTTATCTATGCAAGAATATTCCCTTCAAGTGATACAGACCCACCCCTCCCCCTATGAACTGGGGTCAGCCTGCTTCCAAAAATGGCCTCGGTCACTTTAAGTACCAGAATCATTTCACCTGACAATCGGTGTGGTACATTTGTTACATTTGATGAGCCAGTACTGGTATATTGTTATTAACTAACATCTACAGTTTCCTTTAAGGTTCATTTTTTTGTGTTATACATTCTATGGGCTTTGACAAATGTATATAATGACATGTATCCACCAATACAGTATCATAAAGAGTAGTTTCACAGCCCTCAAATTCCCTTGTGCTGCACCTGTGCATCTCCCCTTTCCCCTACTCACTCCTGACAACCACTGATCTTTTTACTGTCTTCCTATTGCACCAAATTGATATTTATGGCCTTTTGTAAATATCTGAATATTATATCTGTTCTAATTATGGTTCTGGATCTGTTCTAAATTATATATGTTGCTCCTAACATTCTTTTAGACTGTAAAATTCTCAAAGTAGGAATGAAAGAAGCTGAGTTTGTTTTTTTTAGGATAGGTTTAATTAGTTCCATGGAAAGAGATCATTGGCATAAATAGAGGTATTACGCTTAGATACCAATAGTAGTATAATGTTTGAATGTTCTCAATTATAGTTCAATGCCTAGACACAAATCCATTGTTAAAGTCCCATAGTTACTTGACAATATGTGGAAATGTGTGCTCAGATTGTTTTTAGGAGACTGTGCATGTGCAAAGATTTTCAGCTATCTAATGGAAAACTGTACTTTACAATAAGTTTTCACAGTGAGATTATTTAAAGCACGCTAAGGGATATTGACTAATCTTTAATTGCCTACAAATCTCTCCTCATTGAAATAGGTGTGTTTATTGTTGCTGCTAAGCGAACACCCTTCGGAGCTTATGGAGGTCTTCTGAAAGACTTCTCAGCTGTGGACTTGACTGAATTTGCTGCCAGGGCTGCCTTGGCTGCTGGCAAAGTACCGCCTGAGACTATTGACAGTGTCATCGTAGGCAATGTCGTACAGGTTAGTAGGGCAGAGGACAGTATTCATTTCTGTTGCTTTATTTTATCGGTTTCTAAAAATAATTCCTTTAACATGCCATAATGATGAATTAGTTAATAATAGTTAAAGATATTTATAATTTGAGTAATTCTCTGACTCCAGAAGCAATGATATACATAATTCAAAGGAACATATATTCTGGAAAATATATGTCTATCTAATTTGGGATGCATTTCATTGCCTAGAGTTTGGCCACATGGTCAGAAATTATTTCTGCAAAAATTTTTGAGATATAATTGACTTACAACATTGTATTCATTTTAGGTATAGAACATAATGATTTGATTTCTTGTTTATTAAATGGATTAATTTTCTTGATGTATTTGAAGTTAATTGGTGCTCTCTCTACCTAAGGGGCATAACACACCCAAATGAAAAAATTAAAAATAGGACAGTGAACACCCGAGATCCTTTTACTTCGATGAACCAATTCTTCACATTTTATCAAATTTGCTTTAGCTCTTTCTACAATAAATGTTGTTGTTATTATTGTTGTTATTTCTTTCCTTACTCAAAGTGTGGCCCTTGGACCAGCAACATTGGCTTCACCAATGGGAAATGTTTAGAAATGCAGAATTTCAGGCAGTCCCAGCCCTATTGATTGAGAACCCACATTTTAACAAAATGCCCAGCATGTGTTTTAAAGTTTGGGAAGCAGTGGTCTAGTCGCACCTTTTACTGCTCTCTTGACCTCCCTAGGTCAGCAGGTCTCGTCTCAGTTTCACATTATAATTACCTGGGTGCTTTTAAAAGTACCCTGTTGTCCACAGGGGATACGTTCCAAGACCCTCAGTGGATGCCTGAAACTGCATGTAGCACTGAATTCTATATATACTATGTTTTTCCTATACATACCTATGATGAAGGTTGATTTATAAATTAGGCAGTTCTGTGGGTAGAAGATTTGCTCTTACTGTAGGTTTTAGCAACCTTGGCATACAATTTTTTTTTTTTTTCTTATTAAGGTGAGAACTTTCACCTTTTTACTTAAAGGAAGTACTTTATGGCTTCTCTCTGGCATACCTGAATTGCCAGCATCACTACTCTTGTGCTTTGGGGCCATTATGAAGTAAAATAAGGGTGACTTGAACACAAGCACTGCCATACCATGACAGTCAATCTGATCATCCAAACAGCTACTAAGTGATGGGTAGGTAGCGTATGAAGCAGGAATATGCCAAACAAAGGGATGGTGCAAGATTTCATCCTGCTACTCAGAATGGCATGCAATTTAAAATTTATGAATTGCTTATTTCTGGAATTTTCATTTAATATTTTTAGACCATGGTTGATCATGAGTAACTGAAACCACCTTTCTGGTTTAACTGGTTTGGTTAGGAGCTTGAGAGTATGTTACTAAAGCTTTCCAGGTTATTCCAATGTGCGGCCAAAGATGAGAACCACAGCCTCAGATACTTTCTCTGTTACAGTTAGAGCCTATTCCATTTTCAGATAGTTCTGTTATAAATTTCTGTCTTCTATTAAGGACTTCATATAAGGATTTCTCATCCTTAGTATGTTTAAAAACCTATAGACCAAATTATAATTTTTATTCAAATTGTAAGCACATGTATTATGTGAAATATGCTGTACCTGTATGCATCGTGTCCTACCTTAGAGCCATATAATTTTGATAGGTTGCCAGCACTTCCATATATTTTGTCCTTCTTAATTCCTGTATTTTAGAGGAAATTCTTTTTCTTTTCCCTCTGTTCCAGAGTTCTTCAGATACTGTATACTTGGCAAGGCACGTTGGTTTGCGTGTGGGAGTCCCAAAGGAAACCCCAGCTCTCACTCTTAATAGGCTCTGTGGCTCTGGTTTCCAGTCCATTGTGAGCGGATGTCAGGTATGGGCAGTATTATATTTCTCTGAAATATGTTAAAAGCTATTAGAGGAAATGTCCCACTTCAACATAACACTGTAGGTTTTTATTTTTAGTGCTTATTAAGAGAGGTCAATATTTGATTTTTCTTGGGAAAATATTCACAGGGGAAAATAAATTTCTTAAAAGCTAATCATGAACTTTGAAGATATTATGCTAAATGGAATAAACCAGTCACAAAAGGACGAAAACGGTATGATTCCACCCAGATGAGGTACCCAGAGTAGTCAGATTCATAGAGACAGAAGTAGAATGGTGGTTACCAGGGCTGGAGAGGGGAGAGGGTGAGGAGTTATTTTATGGGTACAGAGTTTCAGTTTGGGAAGATGAAAAAACTTCCGGAGATAGATGGCAGTTGCACAACGATGTGAAGGTACTCAATGAACTGTACACTTAAAATCGGTTAAAATCGGTTAAAGTGATGAATTTTATGGTATGTATATTTAATCACCATTTTTAAAAAAGTGAATCATGACTCTTTTTTTAAGGGCTTCCTATGTGCCACTGTGCTAGATTTACATTCACTATCTTACTTAATCTTCATAATCATCCTATGAGGCAATGACTATTATTATTCCCATTTTATAGGCAAGGAAACTGATTATTAAAGGCATCAAGGTTACTAAGTATTAGTGGCAGAATTTAAATTCAGGTCTGTGAGGCAGTTTGAAACACTAAATAAAGACTATAAGACTAGGAAAAGAGTTGGAGAATTTGGGGGATGATAAGAAATGGATTTTATAATAAAGAACTGAATGACATAGTTGGTAGAAGTATAAACTACTATGACCTTTCTAAGGTATAATTGGGCAGTATGTTTGTTGCACAGAGAAAGGCATACAGTGAAATACAACTTTGTCAAAGTCTTCATTTTATTATAAAATAAATACATTTTGTAATGAAGAAATTATTTTCACTTTAATCAAATTTGTTTCTATAACAATATATCGTAAATAGTGATCCTGATTTTCCTAGTAATCATTTTAAACACTGGGCTCTTGGAGGCTTGTGATTTGCTTCTTTTCTGAAAAATGCAAATAGTGGAAAGAGTTGAAAGAATGAAATGGGTCCTTTTTATGAGTCCCCTAGGTTAACCTGGTTCTGGCAAATTTGTGGTCCCTTTTGGATTCATCCCTTAATAGGATACATTTTACTTTTGCTTTTTTAAAGCGTTTGTTATTTATTATCTGCTGGCAATCCGTACATTTATACCAGACAATATCGCTGCTGATTTTTAAGACTTGTGTTAAGAATTACCATTCCTTGCCAAAACGTAGATAGGATTTATTACTTATGCACAAATGATCGAAGTCTGTTAGTTTAGTTTTTTTACCCTCTTGTATCTTGTAGCATTTGCTTTCTGATTACTTTAAAAGTATTTCCTTTTGAGACACTGTAAGCTAGGATAGGTTACTTATTAGATTTACTATTAGTTTACTACTTAACACGTACTTTTTAATACCCACTTCTGGCATAATAAAAGAGTTTCGTTGTTCATTCATTTTCAAATAGGATATTTGTGTTAAAGATGCTGAAGTTGTCTTGTGTGGAGGAACTGAAAGCATGAGCCAGCTTCCCTTCTGTGTCAGAAATGTGCGTTTTGGAACCCGTTTCGGATCAGATCTCAAGGTTCGAACTATTAAAATTTGCAAAAATTATTTCTCAAGCTATTAATACTAATAATTTAATAACACTATTTCGAGGCAAGAAAAATAATTTTGAAACCAGTTTATTGATAGGAGATTGACAAGATACGAATGATTTGAAATTTGTAAACTTTTTCAAAACGCTGTTTTGGTTGTTGGTTTTGACATTTTAACCCACATAAAATTTGACTTTATCTTAGCATCTTAGCACACCTCTGCTAGTAGATTTAACACTTGGGGAAGGGAAGAAGCAGATCAAAAGGATCAGCAAAGGTTGAATTAACCTCTTTGCTGAATAATTAGTAAACCAAGTAATTAAATCTTTACCATGATTTATGGAAGTTTTATTTCTGGAGCAATCTCCATAGAATAGATTTCTTTTTCATCACAGAAAACATTCTCTTTGAATATAGAGTATATTGTCCCAAATCGGTCATACAAAAACTGACCCTTACCCCTTTGAGAGCTACAACATGAAAATAGTAGTACCGATTAAAAATGATAGACCCGAACAAGCCCGATCCCATCTGATCTCGGAAGCTAAGCAGAGTCGGGCCTGGTTAGTACTTGGATGGGAGACCACCTAGGAAGACCAGGTGCTGTAGATGTAAAAAATAAAAAAAATAAGGGATCGTAAGCTGACAAGGTCCTTGCAATCTGTGAGGTCAACCAAGGGTTGCCTCGCTTAAAAAAAAAAAAAAAATACTAGCATGCTATCCTTCCCATATGAAAGGGTTAATGACGTTTTATATTTTTAGCATTTTTCATTGTAATGATTGATTTACACTATTAACCCAGTTTCTCACCTTGCCTTTTTGAAAGTTGAAAGGAATAAGGCTTTGAAAAGAAGAGATAGTTTTAGACACCAAATATATTTGAGAAAACCTTTGGAAAGACAGGTCAGTGACTCAAAAGGCAATGAAGAAATCTAGAAGAAACAGATCAGGCTACTTATCAAAGACTGACTAATTGGGTAATACTAACAACTTTTTCTGTTACTCAAGAAGTATGTCCCAGGTTCTTTTCACCCTCATAGTAACTTACAGAATCAACTATTCCTGTCACTTGAAGGCACAGGATAAAGCTCAAAACTGTGGTTTACAAAAGTGGCTACAGAGAAACGTTGCATGAAGACTCAATGTTAGGTTTCTTACAAAATGTAACCGTAAGGGCTTTTGAATGTTGGATAACTTCCTGTGTTCTCAACCTGCACATTCAGCACTGTCAGTTCTCTTTAGAGCCACACGTTTAGAGAGAGAAGAGAAAGTGTCATTTTATTACGTCATTGGATATTTTTTTAAAATGTCTCAGAACCAAACATAATTAGTAGTAATAGTAAATGCTACCAGAAAATCTAATTTTACTTTTGTTTTTTGGAACTGTTAATTATTTAAATTTAAAGAAATTATAGCATATTACTTTCAAAAGATATGTTTTAACAAATCACTTTATTATTAATGTCTTTTAATAGCTGGAAGATTCTTTGTGGGCAGCATTAACAGATCAGCATGTCCAGCTCCCCATGGGAATTACTGCAGAGAATCTTGCTGCAAAATATAAAATAAGCAGAGAAGACTGTGACAAATATGCCCTGCAGTCACAGCAGAGGTGGAAAGCTGGTCAGTAAAGTTGGGTATTATAAATATTCAGAGAAGAAAAACTGTAGAGGGATGGGGGATAGATGAAATGGGTGAAGGGAGTCAAGAGGTACATACTTACAGTTACAATAAAATAAGTCATACTTACAGTTACAATAGAATAAGAATGCAATGTACAACATGACTTTAATACAGTTATAATAAAATAAGTCAAAATGCACTGTACAACAATAATACTGTATTGAATATTTGAAAGTTGCTAAGAGAGTAGATTTTTAACGTTCGCGACACAGGAAGAAAAGTTTTGTAACTTCTACCTGGTGATAGATGTTAGCTAGACTTATTGTGGTGATTGCTTCACAGTATATACAAATATCAAATCACTATGTCGTATTCCTAAAACTAATATAATGTTATAGATCAATTGTACCTCAATTTAAAAAACTATAGGAAAGATTTTAATCATTTCAGGTAATGATCATACAATATTTGTTTTAAATTATACCTTTTGAAAAATCTCATTTTTAAATTATTCCTTTGTTTTTAGAGGATCGATATTCTATTAATGATTGCAAAATTAACTGGGAAATTCCCGTTTGAAATATGTTACTACTTAAAAAGTGATACTGTTAATTGGCCCTGTCTGTACACTTGAATTTATTCCTGTACCAATACTGTTGTCAGTAGAACACTCTGAGGGCCATGATATACTCTGTCAGAGATGACGGCTCATGGGGGCTGCAGGGACAGAGAGGATGTCCTTCTCTATAAGGCATGTTATATTCATGAGGAAGAGATGATGTGTTTGGAAAAGACCCATTGGGTATTCTTTTTTGCCTCCTCCCTCCATTCCTAATTGAAAGTCATTGCACCTGACTCAGAGACTTAGAACTGGCCAAAGGCCCTAGCTATGGTGCCCTGTGTAACACTGCACACTGCTATTGAATCAGTCCAAATTGAGCAACATGACAGCAGTTCTGTTATCAGTGTGGTGAGTTGAAGAAATTTGTTAGTTTTCTGAAAAATATTTAAGAAATTAAATTAGTATAAACAAATGGAAGCTCTTATTTAAGGTACTAAATATTTACTTGGCATAGTGAAGATAAAGTCCATCTTAGCATTTCAGAAGAATAAGTGGAATGGAGCTGATAACATCGAGCTCATCCTCTGCGTTTTTCAGTGATACATTTAAAGTGGATGTGTATTGGTCTAGAGGTCAAGAATTATCGGTTCTGTTTCTAGCTTTGCCCCGTACATGTTAGCTGACCTCGATCAAGTCATCAAGTCATTTATTCACTGAGCATCTGTAAAATAAAGACAAATATGCATCTCTAATAATAGAGATAAAAAATATTTGCCTTCCCTATTTCGCTAATACAGTTGTTGTGAAAACCAAATAAGGGAAATGTGTAGCCTGCTGTAAAGTGAGATCAAAATTAAGATAGTATTATTACCAACCTATCTTGCTTTTGAAGCTTTGGATTACTATAGTCCACTCCAGTCAGTAGAGGTGGAAGCAGGTAAGCCATTATACTTAGAACTGCGTTGATAATAGCTCATATAATTTCTTCAAGTCACTTGTCATTAAATTTCAGTCATAGATGACTTGGTGACATAGACAGCTTGGTAACTTTTTTCATTATTATGCTACGAGCACATAACATGAGATCTCTCTTAACAAATTTTTAAGTACACATTATTGCAAAAAAAAAAGAACATTATTGTTGTACAACTTGGTAACTTTTTAATTACTTCTTAACTCACACAGAGAACTTAAAAAAGGGCATTAAATCCACTTAGTGCCATTACATCTATAGCTAACTGACAAATAATACTGTCTAGCAGTACCTTATAAAAAAGTGTAGTTAAAAAAATCAAAATTAAGGGAGTGACGTCAGAAACATGGTGGAGTGAGAGACATCCCCAGATCTGTCGCCTTGAAACAACAATAAGCTGAACATCTAAAACTCAACAAAAATCACCCAAACCGCACACCAGCACGTCTGAGCATGGGATCTGCACACAAGAACTACCACAGGTCAGAATCCCAGGAGTCAGGCAGTAGACTGTGAGAAACAAAGAAACTGCCTCTCGCAGGTGGAGCTCCATTCAGGAGGAGGGGGAGGAGAGAAGGTGTGGTGGGTTCCTTGAGCAACCCTGCCTGGGAAAGCTTTGAGCAGAAAGCAGAGAAGAGGGGACAGCAGAGAAATAATGGTTGATTATTACCAGCCGTGGCTGCAAAATGCAAGGCTGCAGCCCTCATCCCAACCCAGAGGGCCCCTGCCCCTATATCCTCCAAGACCGAACAGTGGAGCCCCAGGGGGATCTGAGCAAATGTTACCCAAACTCACTAAAACTGACAGGGACTGAGACTGAGGGTAGCGAACGTGATTGAATATCTATAAGGAAAAAAAAAAGGCGTTATTAAGACTTTATATAAAGCAGGGATCCAAAAGGCTTAGATGCCACCTAGTGGAAACCAAAAGAAAAATGCCTTCTTGCAACAGGCTAAAGAGAGACCTTTATATAATAAATCTTCTGTCTGGAAAAAAACCAGAATACACTTCCTTTAATGCCCAGGCAGAGAAATAGTCCATTAAACACCATGAACAACTAAGGTGACAAGGCAGCTCAGAAAGAGAAAAATCTCCAGAAAATAAGCTTAAAGTCATAGAAATATGAGACTTAAATGACAGAGAATTCAGGATGGTACTTCTGAAAAAACTCAATAAGATCCAAAACAATTCATATTAACAATTTCAGGAATAGAAAAAACAACTAGATAAACAGCATGAGATCTTTAGCAAAGAGATTAAAACCCTCTAAAAGAACCAGATAGCACTTCTGGAGGTGAAGAACACACTGAAAGAGATGAAAAATGAAATAGCAAGCTTGAGAAATAGAGTCGACCAAAAGGAGGAAAAGATCAGTGATATCGAAGACAGTAATCTAGGATTAAATTACAAGGAAGAAGGGAGAAACAAAGAATGAAAAATAATGAAAAAGAAGTACAAGAACTAGCTGATACCGTCAGGAGAGGAAACATAAGAATAGTGGGCATTATCGAAGGTGAGGAAAAGGAACAGAGACTAGAAAGCATTTTCAGACAAATAGTTGATGAGAATTTCCCAAATCTAAGAAATGAGCTGGAGCTTAGAATTCAAGAAGTCAACAGAACACCAATTATCTCAACCCAAAAAGGCCATCACCAAGACACATTGTATCAAAATTATCAAAAATCAGTGACAGAGAATTCTCAGGACAGCCCGGGAAAAGAAGATGTTAACCTATAAAGGAAAACTCATTAGATTTTCGTAGGACTTCTCAGCACAGACCTTACAATCCAGAAAGCAGTGGAATCAAATATTCAAACTATTAAATAAAAGGAACTACCAGCCTAGAATAATGTATCCAGCAAAGCTCTCCTTTAGATATGAAGGAGAAATAAAGACTTTTCCAGACATACAAAACTTGAAGGAATTCTCCATTACGAGGCCTGCATTACAGGAAATACTGAAAGGAGTCAGCTCACCTAAAACAAAATGACAAAAACAAACAAACAAACAAACCATATTTAGGAGTAAGGTGACTATAAGGCAGATAGAAGCAGAGGAGTGCAACCCTTACTAAGAACAGGGCGTTATAAACTTAATAAGAAGAGAATTGCTATAGCAAGAAGGTAATGAACATTCAGCATACACAGGGACAAATTGAGACAACAATGACTGAAAAGCGGAGATGTCCAAGATCCAAATGCGCAAAGGGGAATGGAAATAAGGCTCACACAGAAGAAAATGGACTCTATATATATATAACTATCCTTTACATATTTGTAATGGTAACCACACACCAAAGATTCAGAACTGAAGTATATAGCACAAAATAAGAAGAACCAGAGGGAAAACCCACAGAAGCCAATCAAAATAAAGAAAACAGAAACACAAGGACAAGGAAGCAATGGAAACACTGAGCTACCATGAAGCAAAGATAAAATGGCCATAAGAAGGCCTCATATTTCAGGAATCATCCTAAATGTAAATGGACTGATCTCACCGGTAAAAAGGCACAGAGTTGCAGAATGTATCAAAAAACAAAACCCAACCATATGTTGCCTCCAGGAGACAATCTTAGCTCCAAAGACAAATACAGACTCAAAGTGGAAGGGTGGAAAATGATATTTCAAGCAAATGGCATTCAGAGAAAAGCAAGAGTAGTTGTACTAATATCAGACGAAATAGACTTCAAAATAAAAAAGGTAAAGAAAGATACTGAGGGACACTTCATAATGATAAAGGGAATCATGCACCAAAAAGAAATAACACTTATTAATATCTATGTTCCCTATCAGGGAGTCCTGAAATATGTAAAGCAATTACCAACAGAACTAAAGGGAGAAACAGACCAAAACACTATCATAGTAGGGAACCTAAATACCCCGCTGTCGGACAGATCATCCAAACAGAAAATCAATAGGGAAATAACACCCTTAAATGACACATTAGCCCAACTGATATTCTCAAGGATTGACCACATACTGGGACACAGAAATAAGAGGGTTGAAATTATGCCAACCATATTCTCTGATCATTTGCTTTGAAGCCGGAGAGCAACTGTAAAAAAAAAGTGGGGAAAACCACAAATACATGGAGATTAAGTAACATGCTATTGAAAAATGACTGGGTCAGAGAAGAAACAAAAAAATCAAGAGATACATAGAAACTGATGATAATGATAGTACAACAAATCAAAACTTTTGGGACATGGCAAAAGCGGTCATAAGAGGAAAGTTCATATCATTACAGGCCTATCTCAAAAAATAAGAACAAGCCCAAATCAACAACTTAACGTTTAATCTTTAAAAACCAGAAAAAGAAGAACAAATGAAGCCTAAAAGCAGAAGGAAAGAAAGAATCAAAATTATAGCAGAATTAAATAAAATGGAAAACAAAAAAAATAGAAAAAGTAAATACAACAAAGAGCTGGTTCTTTGAAAAGGTTAATAAAATTGACAAACCGCCGGCTAGACTCACTAAAGAAAAAAGAGAAAGGACACAAATAAACAAAATCAGGGATGAAAGAGAGAAAATTAGGACTGACATCACAGAAATACAAAGGATCATACAAGAATACTATGAAAAAGTATACAACACCAAATTTAATAACCAAAATGGACCAGTACTTAGAAAGATACAACCTTCCGAGACTAAATCAAGAACTGGAAAATCTAAATAGACC